GTTTACCTAATAGCAGCTCTTGGTAGAAGCCTATGGGTTTCTCACTGGTCAAGTACCAGCACCTTCATTTTTCCCTGGACTGTTTACCCACCATAAGAGAGGGCAAAACCCTAGTCCTTCAGAAGCCCAACTTTCCGTGTCCCCTGCTCTGATGCCTGAGAGGAATTGAGATTTGAGTTTCATTCTGTCACTCACTAGCTGTGTCACTCACCCATCTCTGGGCTCCAGTCGGCTTTAGGTGGGCTCTGGGGCTCCTTCAGGTCTAGTTCCCCAGTGCCGATTCTGGGATTCGGCCTCAGGCTGGGTGGCAGGGACAAGAACATGATTAGCGCCCTCCAAACTCCTTTTGGGCTCCTGGGTATCGCTGTCTTCCTTGACTTCCTCTTAGGTCACTGCCCAGCCTGAGTAGGTGGCCACCTGAACTTACGAGTCATGGATGAGACTGATTTCAATGTACTTTGACTCTCAAATACAATGACACGTGAAGCTCTGGGGAAACTGGCAGAGGCAGGGCCCCTGAGGTAGGCTGGTGGGCATCAGAGCTCCCCAGTCTTCCTGGTTAGGCCAGATCCCTACAATCTCCTCCTTCCATCCCAGTTGGGGGCAGTGAAGCCGGTGCTGGATGGCTTTCACTTCTGAGCTCCTGGCTTCTGGCAGGCGGGTTTGGTCCCTGGGGCCCCAGAATGGCTTCTTCCCACCCACCCTTTATCTCCCGTATGGTCCTTGGACTTAGGGAAGGAAGTGAGTCAGGGGAGTAGCATTTGGGAAGGAACTTTGCCAAGCTCACATGCTGGTCCCCAGATGGGGAAATAGTATTGGAGCACCAGGTCCCCAGGGAGGGAGGCCCCCTCGGGCACTACCAGCTGACCCACCCAGAAGGCAGGGTCAGAACGCATGGGCTGCGTCCACCCCTCCCTAGTGGGTCTGTCCCGGGGGCAACTGGTAGAGGGGGATCCCTGAGGGATCTTGATGAGTGGCTGGGCCTATCTCCTCCCCACCTAGAGCTGTTTCCTGTATTCGGTGCAGGGGGTGGTGCTGGGAGAGGGTGCTAATCCTTGGATTGGATTTCTCCTTCTAACTGGATATTCAGGTTTCTAATCCAGCTGCTCCCAGAAACCCAGCTAGTCTGCTACTGCATGGCGGTAGCCCCTTCTCCTCAGCTCTTTGAGATGAACCGCAGCTAGGAGGTGATTCGAGGGGGTGGTGCAAGGCTGAAAGGAGATTTTTAATGTTTCGAGATGCACGTGTTCTGTCCCCAAGGCGGGATGTCATGCTGGAACCTTATAGGGTACAGAGAAAGTATAGTAGAATCCCATGGTTTGGGGTGGGGACTCTGGAACAAGACTGCTTGGGTTTGAGTGCTGATATCAGCCCATTGTGAACTGTGGCCACTTTCCAGCCATAGGTCTCAGCCGTTGTGAATATTAAATGATAATCCGAGAACACAGTGGTGCTCAAATAACCTAAGTTGTGGGCTGGCACAGCCTCTTTCAGAAGTAGCCAGGCCTGTGAGCCACGGCTGGCCCTGCATGGCCAGGCTTTACACCCCCGTCCCCCACCCGGGCCCTTCCAAAGGCTGCTGTTTTAGACATGGTAGGTCAGTGAATGTGACTGGGGATCAGAGCAGGTCCCTGCCCTTTCTGCATCTTTATTTCTGCCTAGATAAATGAACTTGTCAGTTTATCCCTTCTCCCCACCCCAAAGGATTAAGGAAGTAATTACTCTTCTCAGACAGAGGCTGTCAACAAGCCTGCGGGGTGGGGGGGGAGCTGGAAGTCCCTGACAAAGCCATGGCCCAGCTGGGGCAGAGGGCTCCAGGGTCCTTACTCTCACCTGTCCCCTACCTAGGTCTGTAGGGATTTCAGCTTCGGTGCCCACAAAGGGGCCTCTGCTGTGCCGTTCATTCTGGACGCCAGACCTTATCAGCTCCATCCAGCTGTTTAATCGCATTATTAAGGAGGCTGTTGTTGCTGTGGGAACTGTGTGGGTGACAGCTGCAGAGTAGGAGAGGGGCGTGGGAGAGATGAGGTCAGAGAGATGGGGGAGGCGGATAACGAGGGTCTTGAGGGCCATGCAGGAACTTTGGCTTTTCCTCTGAGTGAAATGGAGGGCCCTTGGCAGCTTTGAACCGGAGTAGTAACGTGGTAGCCTGGTCTGGCTTAGATTTCATAAAGATCTGCCTCTA